TTTTATATTTTTAAATATAAAAATGTGTGTGTGTATATATATATGCGCAGATTTATCAACCTTGTCATTATGTTCTCACACAGCAGCAGTATTGTATCAAAGAACAAGGGAAAAAAGTTTGAAATAGTAGCATACTAGTTGTGAAACTGTGATTAGGTGAAAAGGATCTAAACTTCAAAATTTTGGGGTTTGGGCTTTTTAAATTATAAAAAAGACAAAAACAACCCACCCAAACCTAAATTTTTTGCTCATTTCGGTTAGCCAGGAGAAGAATGAAGTTCTAAAGATTAAGAGTAAGCAAGTGGAAGTCACACTATTTCCTTAAACATGGTGATGACTAGGCAGAGTCTGCCTGTTCATATATACATACAACATGATCAGGTAATATGCCCCAAGCCTCAAATTTGATCAATCCAGAAAGTAGCAGTTGAAGTCACTAGTTTGTTCAGCACAAGTATATTTTAGCCTGCTTCACTGTGGCATAATCAATTGTAATTTACCATGCCAAAGGCCCTGTCTATACCAGTGAAACACTTAAGATTAAATTACTAAAAATCTCTATAGATTAAGAAGTTAAGAAGAATCACTGAAATATCCATATATGCAGGAAAAGTTTGATTAAATAAAAAAAACCAAAACCCCAAACCAACCAAAATAAAGTATATACACTTCAGAAACACTACATATCTGCTTTCTATAGTCAGGAAGATCCAGAGTGATGAAATACTGGTGCTGAAGCCTGAACAGTCACTTACCATCTAGAACCATCTTAGCAGCAATAGCCGTGGGGTATCCTACTGTTTTAGCCATCGCAGAATATCCTTTGTTATCACCATAGACAACCAGATCAATAAATTTGCTTTCCAAATGACCAGAAGGATGCCTGAGACCTATTTCATTTCTCATAACGATCATATCTCTCTCTCCAGTGCCTAAGAGAAAAGCACACAAACTATTCAGTAGTTGTATTTCAATCGTAGCAAGATGGACCTCCCGACACGCAAGGCACTATGCATACACAACACATATATCAGGGAAGCGACTCAACATAAGGACTATTAGGGAGGACAGAATATTAAGATGAAACTAAAAACATAACAGGGAAAGAAAAGAATAAATTGGGAAAATAGAGAACATCACAAGACATTAAAAAATCTAACATGATGGATTTTTAATGAAGGTGAACAAGCTAATCTAATTAAGGCTAAGAGATAGCGACATGTTCTACTCAAAACCATGAAAAAGAATTTCTCATACCAAAGGGCAACTTCATCTCCATGTGCTTTGCAAGAGCCCCCACAACTGAATCTGCTGCTGGAACTGGTTCATCTCCCAATAAACCTAGCCTGGCAGAAGTAATGAGACAGACTTATATCAGTGCCTATCAACAGCTTAGTCTCAGCTTTGTAATTTCCAGCTTGTTCAGCATACCAGTTTAACAGTCTCAACATGGACCAAAATGGGTAGAATTGCAAACCTGTTTTTTTGGTTTTGCTTTGGTTAGTTTTGTTTTAAACCTTTAAAAATCACTGGAACATTTTACCATTCCACTGCCTCTAGCTGACTTTCATCCTTTTCCAGTTTGCTAAATACAGCTTCTTTAAGAACATGGTACTCAGCAGGTGGCTTAATTCCAACCAGTTTGCACATGAGCTCTTTCTGTATTAAAAGAAAAGAAAAGAAAAAAGGTTCCTGAAGGCCTGACGTCTGTTCCCACCCCTTTTCAGTCAAGGTTTTGAGAACCCACTGTTCCACTAAGCTCAGTTAATATCCAGAACTTCTGAGAAGACAGGGTATGCATACAGGGAAAGTGAGATAGTTTGAGAATTTTAATCACAACAAGATGGATAATAAATGGAGCGATGAACAAGATATGAAGCAAGCAAGAAGTGCAGAGTCTGTTTAGAAGCTCAGGTTGGCCTGTCTCGTCTGCTTCCCAGACAGAGGAGATAAAGGGAGAGTACTAAAATCTAACAGCATTGCTGAGACAAGGTTTGCAGTGAGACTAATGAGTTTATAGTTATTTTCACAGATTACATGGCACTGTATACTTATTCACCGAGGCTAGAAGGACTGGAAATTCTAGCCATCTTTGCAAAAAAACCTTGAAGATATCAACCCTAAAATTGAAAGTGGACACAAATCAAATCATCCCAAAAAATTAAAAGTAATTCCCATATGGCAGCCAAAAACCTCCTGGAGTTTGGGAAGATGAGCAGTGCTGTATGTTAGTCAGAGACAAGCAAGACTGGGCCTCTTCACCTTGTGCTTTCTTGGTTTTAAGAACACTCAAGACATTCTTAACTTGAAATAATGGCATCATCAGAGAAATACTGTGCTCTCCTCAGAACATCACACAGCATAAGCCTGGTGTCTTTTTCCAGACTAATGCTGATGAAAGCACAAGGAAGGAAACAGGAGACAAATCTGAATTTTGTTCATATGAGCAATAAACAAAGCTACTCTCTCAGAAGTTTGCAAAATGGAAGAAGAATTTCTCACAAGACAGAAAAACAGACCTGACAAGTAATAAGTTGTTTGTCAATTCAGCTCTCTTTACACCATACTGAAATATGAAATTCCCTGCTTTGCCCACAGAGACAACCAAAACGTTGATTGTCAAATGTAACAGTAGTACATCATAGGAGCCATACCTTGGTTGAGATAAAGATGAAGTGAGGCATCAGTAAGCAAGACAGAAAAGCAGCATAACAGAAGAAAAAAAAAAGTTTGTACAGAGTTTTAACAGAAAAAAAGATTTTAATATACTCAATTTAGGCATGATCTCTTACTTCCTGATGGCCTAAAAAATACTTTCACACTGAAGATCATGGGCCAGTACCAATATGGACACTGCAAACTCACAGCACTGCGGGCTGGATTCTGAATAACAGAAAATTTAAGACAATTCATAAAAATATTGTACAGAACCTCTGAGGGTCATTTAGCCTAATGCCCTACTTGAAGCAGGAGTACCACCAGCACTCATCAGCCGTGGCTTTGTCTCGCTGAGTCCTGAAACCCTCCACTGTCAGAGACTCCAGAGTCTCTCTGGGGAACCTGTTCTAGCACTGAATTACTTTCCTGCTGAAGAAAAACTTCCTAATTTCCAGGAACAAAAAGCAGAGAAGACCAGGATCCAATACAAGATTCTCATTGCTAAGCACACCCAAGCCTAGCAATAAGAAAAGCATCAACAAATCAGAGGAAAGAAGGCAGAGTAATCAGAGTAACTCACCCAGGTTAGAGGTGGCGTAATTGAGCTTAGCAAGGGATAAGGATCTGGGTTAATTAATCCTAGTTTTACAAAGCCTCCCATAGTTTTGGAGTATCCCTGAAATAAAATAATATCAAGGTTAAAAATAATAATCACTTGAAACTGAGGTCTCCTTGGTTTGAACGCAGCAGTGGACACAACCATGGTAGTGTTAAGCATTATGCCCTCGGGAGGACAGCCACAATAATGTGATGCCAGCGGAGTTACTGCTACAGAGTGATAACTTCCCCAGCCCCTCTCCACTCCTCCCTCTACTTTTTCAATACCCTCTTTAATGACTTATTCTGCCATCAATACTTCCATTGGTTCATGAGATCAAAGGGCTAAGCTGGCCAGCACGTCATTACAGATGGGGTTATGTCAGGCAGCTGGCCCATAAACAAACTACTGAATACAGAGCACCCAGCACTGAACTCAGCTCACCCCAGTTTTACACCAGTGTGTTGTATGGACATCACAGAAACTGATTTTAAAGATAAGAATCCTGTGTGTTTGTATCTTTCCTTCAGGAGTATCAGAGACAACCAGGACAGCAGGGGAATAGTATTTGAAAGGCTGCAATAGGCTACACAATAAGAGAAGTCTCAACTGGTTTCTGCTCATTTTTGTTTGTATTCTGTTAACACTCCCACACAGCTGCTGGATGTCTGAAAAGAATTACATGCAAGTACTTAGAAACACTGTAAAAAAGCAGTATGGTGGAAATAAAGCACCCTGGAAGACGGCTAATTGTAATTAGGAGCCACATCCACCAGCACTAGGTTATCAGCTCTGATGGCCTTGCAGTGAGATCCTTCTGTGACAGCTCTTCTTAAACTGACTCCATTAACTCTCTGAAGTTAATCTATAAAAGGCACTCTGAGGAGATGTTAGCCTCCGCGCTGAACAGATTGCTTTCTGCTCTGCAACAGGGCAGCATGTGCAAAGGGCCAACATTAACTTCTGCCCTGCTCAGCACTATGTTGTCTCATGTAGGTACCATGCAGCAGAGGTATGGCAAGCTCTTCCACACAACCCTACCGACATCACCCCACCCCAAAGTGATGGATCTGCTTTGAGGGTTAAGAAAACAGTGCTAACCACAGAAACATCATTCTTGCAGCACACTGATAACAGCTCTTCACGTCACGCGGACATTTTTGCTCTTCCTTGTGCAAACACTTATACAAAAAAAAAAAAAAAAAAGAAAATTTTACCAAGCACCAAATGGAAGAGTAGATACTGTCATATTAAGACTTCATGACAAGATAGATGCCTTCCACATATTGTTAGCTTCTGAACAAGAGATTGTATCTAGACTGACAAAAGGAGAGCTATTGCAATCTGTAACCCTTATTCACATTGCCCTTCCATCTTCTTTTGCTAAGCAAGCCTCCCTCCCAGAAATAAAGAAAAAAAATCCTGTTGTATTGCAGCAAAGGAATTAAGAGGGAAAGGACATACACGTTCCTCAAGCCATGTACAAAACAACAATAACTTAAACTTTGTCATAAACCTTAGCTCAATAGACATATCACAACATCCATAAAAGCTTTTTCAAATCTTCAATATGGGTTTAGGTTTATTCCTTCTTAATGTATATTGACCAATAAAATAATAAAAAAGAAATTTGAAAGAAAAAATAAGATGTTTTGATTCTGCTCTGTTTACCTAACAAATGAAAGGAAGAGTCTATCAGTGAGAAGGAAAACACATTATCTCTTAACATTTTACTTAACTGACCAAAATGTTAAAGCTGCTCAAATTCAGGATTTCCAGTTACTTAATGACAAACTTTCTCAGTTTGATGGAAAACAATCATTTTCTGTAAGATTTTTATATTATGTTTTTCACAGGAATATAAGCAACAAACTGTAAGTTCAAATTTTTATCAACTTTAAAAGAATAGATCAATTCTTAAAAATACATAACAGCAACACACCACACAAACCCATCAGATTTATTTAATTTCTTTTTTAAATCTTCCACTGATCTGACACCAAATACAAAGCCAGATGAAAAAAAAAAAAGAAACACAGATACAAACTATGCAAGCCAACGGACCAGCTGCCTAAAACAAGTACAACTATTTTTCTGGTTTGCAACACCTGTTAAATAAACTAAATAAAGCTACATTAAAAAAAAATGAAAGAAGTGCTTTCAGTTATCTGTCAACTGGGATAGTGGAGAGCTCATAAACAGCAAGTACAGAGCTATAAAAGGCTGAGTTTTAAATACATAGTTTTCTTGAAATGACAACATTCATTTTTTGAGGAAACCAATAACAACAACAACAACAACTTACTTTGTATCTTAAGGTTCCTCTCAACAAAGTGTGAGCTGTCTGAATACCATATGGCTCAGCATATTTGGTACTGTCTCTGTTTGGAAAACCTTCAAGATTTAATCCTGGGAAAAAATCCATCGGAGTAACAGAATCGAGTAATGCTCCTCCCGCTGGAATATTGATAATCTAAATTTTGTGAAAGAACAGCAGTATTATTTCAGAGCAGTGTTATTTCATTTATTTTACAACAGAAAAGATGAAGTATGCTCAAAATAGGAATAATATGCTTAGTGTTTCTGGGGCAAACAAAGGCCGGATCTAAGTAAAGCAGTTGCACAGGCCATTTAAGCATATCCTGTGATGGAGGAGCATGCACTATGTCAGCCATTACTAATCAAAGGGCTCAAACAAGCCATATCCTTCTCATACACACTGTTA